CGTCTCTCTCCAGAGAAGTATGCGAGTGCCGTGTACAAAAGCTAATCCATCAATTATCAGCTGAGGCTTCCTGGAAAGCAGGAAATTGGTTTTGCTTTACATATCTCAGCAGCTTCCATGCAATCTTGAATCTTGGCTGCCTCTTTTTCTCTCTGTGAACACACATCAAATGCACACACATATTGGAGACATTAGTTTCGCATCTCCTCCGAGCTTTGGCTCGGAGTAGAGATAACGCCGGCGGAGCTTGTAAGCTCTCTCATGGCTTCGGCGTTTTCGTTTAGGCCTCCAAAGATTTCGGCGAGAAATTGGAACAAGATTATTTGATTATTACACTGAAAGTTTGTAACATTGAGTGGAATTTAATTGTTAACAAAACAGTTTTTATTCAAGAATTTTCCATGCTAATATATAGTAGCAAAAAAGATACAAACTATTTATTAACTTATTAGTAATATTATTTAAACTCATAATTTTCAATAGGAGGGGGGGACCAATAAAGGCTCAAATTGGTCAATTGTCCATATTCCTGAATACAAAATTCGAGAAATTTCTGCAATTATCGCGATTGATAACTTCCTCAAATATGCCGCAACTCAAATTTCAAATTCACTTAGAAAGGTAAGAGCAGGTAAAACCTTCGAAAAGCCCCTAGTAAATTGTGTCAAATTTCAGAATAAAAAATCAAATATTATTGTTAAAATATTTCCCTTGTTGTCCTTTGACATTGGTAAATTAATTTTTTTGTATGTTTTGAAAGGACGGTCATTCTGCGCAAAGAGCTTTGTGTCGCACTCCTGTTAAAAATTAAAATACCAAACTCAATTTTCCAGACCGGCACCAAAAAAATGAACTAAAAGTTATATCCCAGCTATGAGGAACAACAATATTTTTTTTGTAAACGTGCAGACAAGCACCAACACATAAATGTTAGTAAGAATTAGCGATTCCGACCGCCATCAGGGCAGTGTAATTTTTCAGCGGCACTCAAAAGCGGCAAGTTATGGTCCAGCGACGGCAGTTTTACGAGCGACGATGATTTCAGCAAGAGCTAGCAGGACTAATTCTTTTTTTCCCAGCAACGTCGGCAGACCACATCGCAAATGTCATTCGTTAATCAACCCACTCGTCTCCAGGTAAACGGCCTGTGCACCTAACAGAGGCCGATTTGCAATTAAAATCCCCATTCGCGCCAAAATAGGATGCTCACGTATGAAATTAATTTCGCTGACCTTGTCGCGACAAGAGTCAATCTGTCGGAGGAGAGGCGCAAAAATGTGTGTCGCGTCAAGTGCAGGTTTCGGGTTTCAAGTGCTGGTGACGCGCGTCTGGTTTTATGAGCGAATATGAATGCCAGACCAAGCATAATTCATTCCGACCGTTTATGGATGCGGTTGATGGATGTTATGTAAGCTTGATTTATTCGCAGAATGCTGCTGGGTTTTGCATATTATTTTGGTGGAATGGCATGTTTGAAGAGCAGGAAAATTTAATGCGCTCGTCAGACTGGAATGAAAATTTTATTAAATTAATCCAAAAATGTCAAAATGTAATTTCGGCACATGAAACTCGAAATTCTGCTGCTGCTTTACGAATTAATGAATGTTGAAAATTCATTTTCTCTGTTGATGGCTTCAACACTTAACAAAGTTTCTTTACTTGTGAATTCTTAAAAAAGAAAAATAAATTCATATTACTTATTTCGTTGTCGTTATAATTTAAATTTGACTTATAATTATTTAATCAAAAGATTGATGAATTCAAAATTCAAACGTTAAAATTAAGATTTTGCTTTTATTATGAGAAAATTTTTAAAAGACTATATTTAAACATAAAACATAAGAAAAAGCAAACCGAGCTATTTTTAAATGCTCAGCTAATCAAAGTTAACGCTGTTCTTTTTCCTTTTTTTAAAGCTTAAATGCACTTTTGTGAAGTAAAAATTAATCTAAAAAAAAATATGTAATGCTCTCGTTCCGCATTGTTTCCGTTATATTTTTCATGTGTGTGTATGAAGTGTTATGAGAAGATAAATTCGACCAAACTTTTGCTAGGCAACTTGCCTCTTGGCCATTTCTCCCCAATTTTGCTGCAGTATGTGTGTGTTGAGGAAAGAAAAGTTTGCAGGCGTGATTTCCCACATGAGGCCTCGCCGCTTCCGCTCATTTTCACCACGTTTGCAGCATGCAAGCGGGGCACAACAGGGCGTGTAATGTGCGCGGCGAGCGGCAAAGTTAAACAATAAAGGCTTATTAGCATCCATCCATCCCCCGACGGTTGCATCACCACCTATAGCTGTCCCCATTGCGTGTAAACGTCCCTAATATGAATGCACACATATATTATGCAAATATCGCGCAGGTCATTTTTCAAAAATTGATAAAATTAAAAATTAAAAAAAAAAATGGGAGTTAATATCAATTTTTAATTCATTTAAGTTTACTCAACAATTCAGCCAACCCTACACTCACTGCGATGTGCTCATTTGATTAGCTCGCACACTCTCAGGTTAAAAACTTTATGCACGATTGGAACAAAAATTTAAGAAATCAAAATCAAGTCTCTAAAAAAATCAGCTTCTTTTAAGTTAAACATTTAAACAAAAATTAATCGAATCAGCATTGTGTAATTTTATTTAATTTTATCAAAAGTTACTTCACGAAAAAATGGTTTTTTATTTTTATTTTTTTTTAGCTCAAAAATTACTTCTTAAACCAATATTTTCACGTTAAAAGTTTAGCGGTTAGAACAAAACGCATTCTGCAAAATATTCTGCCAGGGACCTAATCGCACTTCTTGAACAACAACGGTTTTCCATCGCAAAGTAAAAAAAATAACGCGTTGCTCATTGTCAGCTCGAAAAATGGCAGGGTCATTATTACGGCGCGCTCGCAGCTTTTCTATGGGCACCGTATGCATGTGTGTGAATTGTATGTGTTTGTGTCGCCGGGTTGCATGCATGAATGGGGTCACCGTCGTCACTCTTTTTTTGCTTTTTCCCCTTGTTGGAGTGCGTTGTTTGTTTGTCATTACTCACGATTGTGTGTGCATTTTACCATTTGCCGCCGGGAGCATTGCAGAATAAAATTAATTGAGTTTCTCTCCAATTAAACGGGTCTTTCCGCAGAGAAGGTGAGCGCTGATATTGAAATTCATTTTTCATTGCATTAATTGCAATTGAGCTCGACAGTTATTTGCTGTATCAAAAAGAAAAAGAGCATTTTATTTTATAGAATGAACAGCAAAAATCGTTGAAGAAATGTCAGCCATCAGCATAATTGAAGGAAGTGGCAAATGGGATATATATGTGAGGAATGATAATGTGGTCTTCCTCCGATTATTTATTAATTTAAGTTAACTTTATATAACTTGCATTTTGAATTATTTAATAAGATTTAAAGTAAAGGAATATCTTACAAGACTTTAGTCGGTGATTATTATACCTGATAAACAGTTCTAATTGTTTTATTTCAGAAACATTTCACATAAAAATTCATGTGTACATATGTACACAAAAAATTAATGCTCTGATTTTTAATTATTTCATGCTGCATCGGAAATTTTAAACAACTGTTTTTTAAAATATATTTTATATCAATAGCTTTCACTATTGAATTGCTATTCGCGCTAAGAATTTACAAATTTTTTACCTTTGGATTTTGTTTTTGTTCCGACCGATTCAATGAGATATTGAGAACCAATTTGCAAAGCAACTTCTTGGAAGGAAATATTAAACTGGTTTTCGGAAAATTCTACATATTTCCCATTTAAAACGCAGTCAATTATGTTTACACCTTTGTGGAGAGCGACACTGAAATTCCATCCTCTTGGAGAGCATGTTATGTACGTGTTGCGCAAGGATGAGTGCTCTTACACTTTTGCTCACTCATAAAAAGCGATTTGTGATCTTGCAGGCGGAAACCACTTCGTGAAGTTGCCACACTTTTATTCGTTCCACACTTCAATTAATTCGCGGAGCCTTTTGTGTCGAAGAAAGAAAGAATCTTCAATCAAACGCACGGATTTTTTTTTTAAATTGTCCTTTTTTCAGCTGCATGATAAGACAGTCAAGAAGAGGTGCAAAGATATCTTTTTTTCCAATTTTCTCGCCTCACACTCGTGAAATTATGTGTGTTGCTTGAATTTAAATACATTCGTATGCAACACAAGCGCAGAAACGAGTGTCAGCGGTCGTGGAATTAAGGCGAACAAAAGTACTTTAATTTAATTATGAGTAATGTTGTCTGACTCGGTCTGTTTATACGCAACTTTTCCACACGACGTATTTTTTTTATTGCGCCCCGAGTATACACCACTTTTAACTTCTTTTTTACTGCCCAGAACATAAACGCTCCGTTTTTTCTGCTGCTGCGGATGAGGGGAAATAACTTACATTATTGCACAGGAAAAGCGAGCAAAGTTTTGATTATAATCCTTTGCTGCATTTTACGAGAGTGGAGCTGCACTCGTTTTCGCTGTAAATTGAAACGTGCTTTGAAAATTAAAATAAAAAAGTGTAATCCGCCGGTTATTTGGACAAGAACGATAAAAAAATTGTATCAAAATCAAAATGTCAATTATTTCTTACTTTTTAGGATATTCATTTCCTTGTCAATCTTATAGCAAATCGTATAATGTTATATACTCAACTTTCAACTTGCAGGAAAATTTAATTTAATATTTCTAAGTAAATACAAAAGCAAGATATGATTTCCTAATTTTTACTTCTTTTTTAAATTCAAGATTATGAGTGCTATTATAAAAAAAATCATTAAGCCCACTTTAAACAAAACTAAAACACTTCCTTTTTACTGTTTCTAAATCTAAAATAAAAGTGAATTTTTGTGTTTGACTATTTTGGAGTCGAATTGCGTTTACAAATCTCCCTGCCTGTCTCTTATACTTATACATAAAAATAAATTTTCTATTAATAAAGCTTTCGACTTATGTAAACATCACTTCGGAGTGAAACACACTTTGAATTGAAAATACAATCCTACCTTGTGAAATGAGTCTGAGGGTGAGGGCACAGCCTGGACTTTGCAGCTCGAGGGCCGAGCGTTCGGCCGCGAGCAGGCGGATGTAGTCCTCAGGCGAGGTGGGCTGGTTGTCTGTGGTGCTGCAGCTGCCGGCGTCACTGCCTGGCTGCTCCATTGTCACTGTGTTTTGGTCCAACAACACGCTGCACTCATCACTCATCCTGCGAACACCAAGGCAAACAAATCAGTTCAATTCAAACCTCCCCGAATCAATTTTTAATTTAAACACGCGGCGAAAAATCGCTCAATTTCCACCCCCTCCGAATTGATTAATGAAACCGGTCGCCTTTTTTCATCCGAGCTGAAAAATCGCGGCAGTTTCTGCTGCAGTGGCACCAGAAGAACCTCTCTCCGTTGTGAATAATTGAATCGGACCCAACCACCCTCCGCCAACACACATTTCCATGCATTATTTCCAAAGGCTAAACATTTGCAGCGGGGACGATTTCCCTTTTTTATGTTGTTTTGCGGGGGATTCTTTACGTCGGCCTGGATCAGGCAGCCAATTCTTATGTCTGTCCGCCAGGTAAACAACATTTTTTATTTACAATTTATGTCATTTGTCTTGCGGTCAGCCAGTGATTCCGAAAAAAATATTGTGGAAAACAGCAAAATTACATAGGCGGATTTTGCATTACAAAAGACAGTTTATAATTTTTTCTTATTTTTTAAATCACCAAATATAGTGAAGTTTTTTTATTTTTAAAGAACAAATTAATGTAAAAAATTTATTCGCGATAGAGTCAAATTTTATAATCGCCTTTCCTTGATGAATTTTTTGAGTAGATTTCAAGAAAAATAAAATTTATTCTTCTTCTTTGGATTCTTTTGATATAGGTTTCTTCTCCTTGTGTCTTAATGAGGTCCTCATTGAGAAAAAAAAGCTGATTTTAGTATCAACGCATGAACAACGTCACAAGAGATTGTTATGAATTCCAGAATTAAGAAACGTTGAAATCAATCAAGGAGAGATTTATTTGCTCTCAAGTTTTTATAATTATTTTGTCTTCCATATTAAAAGAAAATTGCAATAATTAAAAAATAACATGGATGAAATTGAAAGTTATAAATAATTATGTAAGTGTGTGGTGTGAAGTAGTCTGCCCACAGACTTGGTTGAGGTCACACTTAATTAATGAATAGGCTCACAGCACAATCGCGTCAGTCTCGGCTGGTGCGCTTGGCTAGCCATCCCGCTATTCTGATTTGCTCTACAATATGGTATGTACGCCTTGAGTGAGTGACTTAGCTAGTGAGTCAGTAGCTGGCCTTAACCCGCGGCCAAAGTAACTAACTGGCTGCAACACACACCGCTTTAATCCATTCAAATCAATTGCACTCTCGCTCTCGTCCGAGTCTTAAACTGCACTGTGTGTTTGTGCGGTCGCCGTCTGTGGTCGCTTTCCTTCTTTTTCTCAACCACACACACGCTGACGGGACTTTGGGGGATTTGTATTTGTGTGCGCGCCGGCTTGCTTTTTCCAAGTGTCGCGCATAAATCTTGTCCCATATGTGCCCGGGATTTGGCGCCGCTTGAATTCGGGGGTGAATTAAGGTTGTTACACACGTTGGGTGACAATAAATCTTAGCAAATATACACTTACGCTACGCCAAGGAATTTAAGAAATTTATAAAGAAATAACTGCTACACAAGGAAATCTTTTATTGAAAAAAGTAAGGTAGCGTTCCAAAGGATTGCTTGAAAATTTCTCGGTATTGCATAATAAAATAAGAACCTATATTTTTGGCCCAGATTTCAAAGTTTGATTGTTGAAACAAGTAATTGGCAGACCTATGAATAAGAATTAAAATATTAAGAATAAATATATTAATGAGGGCAACGTACCAAAAAATTGAAAGTTATAAAATTGTTAATGAGTTGAAATTATTTTATAAATAGTATTTATTAATAATATTTATAGTGACCGCATCATTGAATTTCACAGATTCACACTTTACAAACATTTTTTTCCCCCCAGAAATAACCCACAATTCACTTACAGAGAAGGAAAAGAATGATATTTCTAATATAAAATTTTTTTTCCGTTTCCACCTGAAATGGGCGGTGTTTAATGAGGGTGAAATTTCCTGAAACTTTGATTATTTGCCATTCATTCTGCCAATATGCAATTCCACTTGATTTGATTTTTAGCGTTTATCAAATACATCCAGGTGGAAGTTTGACCGAACAAACGACTTCAGCAGAATTTTCCAATTCACTGATATTGGCGCTTTCGGGAAATTGAAAATTGGTCGTCTCCCTCCCTATTAAACAACAAGGAGAGGGAGAGCAATTAATTCATTCGCCTGTTAAATTCAATACGGGGCGTGTACCGGTGAGTATGCGCTGCAAAATTTCACTCTTGGGCACCGTCACGTGTCACATAAAAAAGTAAAGCGGTCCCACACGTAATGAACAAACACACACATATGAACTCGTCGGACGCCAACTTTGCCACTTTCCCGCCGAGAGGAGGCCGCGCGGCAACAGGGAGACATAACATAAAAATATGCACGGTCTGGTGCTAAATAAACACACTCGTCGAAAACGAGCACACCAGCGACTGATGACTTCATTTGGAAGGCAAAATGAGACGTGCGTTCATTTCTATATATTTGGTGAGCGGCGCCGGAGAAAGAAACGATCCCGTCAATATATACAGTTTTTGATATACCCGGGTGAGAAGGGACACCATACCTCGTCCAAATTATATTGACCTTCAATTACAAAAATATATGATTTTACCCCACACAGAATATCATTCGTACAAAACTGTGCTTCACTTTTGAAAATTAAAAAAAAAACTTCAACAGTTTTAAAGTCAATAAAGAGATTAATTTTCAATCTGCTTGAATTTTTATGCCTTTTGCAATATAAATTTTGAAAGAAAATATTGTGTTTTTAGTTGCAAATTTATGTTTATTATTTATTTTCAATCATTAATAATTAAAAAAATTGAATCAACAACTTTCAGTCCGGGTGAGATTTCCATAGCGGGGTTTTTTAAGTGTACTGTCATTTCAGTTGTTTCAATATAAAAATAAGCACTTCTTGTTACGGTCAGAGACATGAATTTATTTCAAATTTGTTCACATTTCATATTTGAGAAATATTAACCATTTTGATAGTGTTATTTCTATGAAAAGAATTTTTGGTCATATGATTTTAAGACAAACAATGGTGACTCCACCTATTTTCCAGTTAAGCTGGCTATTCAAATTCAACGGTGTGGCATGATGGAAAAGACGAGACGTGTCTCATTACATACACGTTGGCGCCAAATTGAAAAACAACAAAACAAATACACAACTTCAAAGAGCGAAGCGGCCTGAAAAAGCCCCTCTCGCGAAAAGAGACTTTTTTTCTGCACGACGCTCTAATTGCCGAAACGGAGGCGCAATTGTCCGAAAGCCTTTTCGGAGTCCGTGAAGCGCGATTTCGTTTCAAAAGCATTTCTCTGCTCTCGCGCACAATACGCGCAAGGGTCGTTGAATCTCTCGCCGCTGCGTCCTACTAACTAAAACTGTCCTCGGAATAAAGAAAATGAGAATTAGACCGTTTTTGGACAGCAAATCGCTTCTCCGCAGCTCGGCTCTCTTGCGCGTCTAATGAGGGGCTTACGAAAAGTTTCGTGCAAATCCGTGCAGATAAGGTCAAGGGTCGCCAAGACAATGGACTAACCCCCTCTTCATAATCAGAGCGAAAAGATTAGAACAGACATAGGATTACTGCCAAGGCAGTTGAAAACATCACATTACTGTTTGAATCAAACAATTCTAGCAGAGTCGGAACTAAGTAAATAAGTAAAAAACTTTTTTTAAGGATGCCATTTAAAAATTTTCATATTTAAGAGAGGCTTTCAAAACTAAACTCCTAATCAAATTAAGTTACAAAAAATTCCAAATTCAACATAAATATATTTTATTCTTTTCTTTGCTAAAATTTAATTTATAAAATTAGTTATTTAGTCTATTTGAATCTACTTTTATTTTTTAAGACGCCGTTCTGATCATGGGCTCGTTCAAACTCTATTTTCAACTATTTAATGTGAATAAAAGTTATAAAATATTATTGGATATTAATTTTTTAGTAGAAAATTGTTTTGTTTTTTAATAATGATTTTCAATTACTTTACAAGATTTTAATATCCACTTCCTAAAAGATTTATTATTCTTTTAACTTTTCTTCTCTCAGTCGTGTTAAATTCTTTAAATTTGAAATTAGAATATCTTTAGTACACGCTAAGATGTACTTATTACAGCATTAATGAAAAACCTCTGACAAATAAGTAAACACAATTTGCAACCGAAAGTAGCTAGAAAACTTAATAATTCAATAAATTCAAGAAAATTAATTGTCAAGACTTTAAATTAAACCTGGAAAAATAAATGGAGCCAAATTAAACCTCACTTAAAGGCCCATTAGCCGTTTCATTCCAATAATTGCACCCTTCCTCCGACCACGGAATGTGTAACCATTGAGCAAAATTAACGCACACTTTTAGCCAGAGGGCCACCCGTGCAAATGAAACTAGCCCGCACAAAAACAAACAGTATAACTCGGGCAATAATTAAGCAGCCGAGAGAAAAAAGACCAACCCGCACACTCAAAATGGGAAAAAGTGCTAAATTTTTAAAAAAGCAGGCATCTAGGGCTAGACGGCGTGTGCAATAACAGTAACTGCGTCATCCACCTTTTAATTGCAATTTCCTGCCTTTTTTCCAGCAGAGCGGCTAACAAAGCACGGTGAATAGGCCTTTGAGTTCATTCCAGCGGGTCCATTATTCAGCCTTTTCTTGCAAATTCGCAGCGGCGCCGGAGCGAGCAGCGAGCTTTGAGTGCATTCCTCATTTCGCCACAAGCCTTTGTGTCATATTGTTTTTCAACTCAAAATGACGCTCGAGAAGAAAACAGCTGACTAGGGAACATCACCAATCGTCAGAAGCCTATATTATTTTAAATTGCATAATATTGATTATAAAAGACGACTCAAAAAAAGGGGAAAGGCTAATTTTTTACTACCTCATCCCCCAAATTCTAGGTTTTTAATGTCAATCTTCAACTTAAATTACTATAGTAAGTTGAGTTAACACCTTAATTGATCGATAAAAAAAAATTTAACTTATTCTTATCCACATCATATAGAATTCTTTGAATTTATAGCAAAATATTTTCAGATCCAAGTAAAAAAAGTGGGATTAAATTGAATGAAATTTAATTATGATAATAAATGGCCGTTTTTCAATGATTTTCAAAACGTTCCTCTAGCAAAAGGAGTGTTTCTTCTCAAAAACATCGCTTGTTTCTATTTTCTATTTTTTTTTCTAATTCTGTGTCATTCCCAGCATTGAAGCATCGCGCAATCGGTTATTTAAGATTTGCGGTGTTCCCTTGTGAGAAATAAATTACTTGCGGATGTGCTTGGAACCCTTTCTTCTTTATTTCCTTTTTTACTTGTCTATTTGTTGAGTTTATTTTTTGTTTCTCCGGTCTTCAGTCTTTGGTTCTACATGCATGTATTCTCAGTTTGTGTGTTTTTACGCCACTTTTTTGCACACGTTGTTAAGTGGCTCGCTTTTCCAACTAATCTTCTCGCCCACCCTCGCGCCGAGCAAAGTGATTAAAAATAACGTGTGTGCCTGAGTTGTTATAATTCACGAGCGAGAGAGAAAGAGCAAAGGAGCTATAAAAGGTTGGATGCGGTGGTGAGAGGATTAATAATCATATTCTGCGCACTGCCCAGATTTCCACCAACCTTAAAGCTTAATTGGAAACACGCAAGAGTCGAGTTTAATGTTATGTGAATATAGAAAGAGATCAGCTCATCCGGAAAAGCATATTTTAAATGTGCGTTAAATTTTCAGATTCTTAAACCTGTAAGTAAAATTTAAATATCTCCAAACTTTTTGAATAAGCTCCAAATTAGACTAAATCTGCATGAAAAATTACTTGAAAAATCCTCCAAAGTCTCTCCCCTTCGAAAAAATTCTGACAAGGAGAGAGATTTTCTCTTTTAGTAAACCTAAAGCCACACGAATCTTGGAACAATGAACAAAATATTCTTCCAAATAGTCAGAAAATTCGGTTCATTCTAGTTTATACAAAATCAACAGCTGTGGCTGAGAAGATTTAAATTTTCAATTAATCTTAATAAGAAATATAAAAAATTGATACAGAATGGATATAAATTGATGCATTAATTTTACAACAGAACTAAAATTTATTTAAAAGCAAATTGATGTTTGAAGCCAAAGTGTAAACTCCTGAAATTATACTGTTTTTATAATTTCGTAGGGGATAAAGAAAAATACAAAACCAGCAAAGTGGATTTTTAAATCAAAACTTTGCTGTTTTTAAGGTCAACACAAAGCCAGCTTTGTAAACAACAATAAAAATTTCTAGAACTTTCCAAAACTAGAAATTCTTGCTCTGCTTCATTTATGTGCAGAAAAAAACAGGCAAAACACGCTCAATATTTAGTTGTTAAAAATTCACAAGTTGCCTCCAAAGTGCGACGCCATAACTCAAAAGGCTCAAGAGTGATTTGTCAACGAGCGGCCGAGTGGACCGGACACTTTTTTATTTGACTCGCGCCGTGAAAATGTAGATGCGCGAGGAAAGGGAGATTAGGTGCCGAGGGAGAGAAAGAAAAAAGAGGCGAAATTCGGCAACATTTTCCATTCCACCCTCTTAACTCTTTGCATTTGCATGAAACTTTCTATTCGAGCTCATCGCCGTGTGGGTGCTGCACTCTCAAAAAACATCAACACTCGCCGAGAAGGGAGAGAGAGACCAAATGTACCAGATAAAATCGTGAGCATTGTTTTCGTCCGTGTTCTCGCTTTCGCATACCGAAAACGATATGAATCATTCATGGAAACTGCACGCCAAAGATAAAACGAGAGAAGAAAAGTTGTCTTGTTAATAAAGCGGCATGCGGCGGAATATTCAAAAGATGGGAGCGCGAAAATCGATGCGAGTGAAAGAGAGAGAGGCCAGAGCTGCGTTTTCCTTTTTCTTCTTTTCGCGTTTTTCGTGCTCGCCCGGTGCAACTTTTGCTTCAAATTTTTTATTTCCCTTCCCGGCGAGTCACGTTACCTCGAGTTTGACTGAATAGATATTTAATTTGGGAGCAAAACACCGCACGAAACGTGATCCCTTACTTCTTCGAGAAATGGCAAGTTTGGCGAGTTTCAATTTTATCTACAAACTCTTGTCAATTCAATTAAATATTTCAATCAGAAATGTATATCGTACGTGCAATTTACACCTTACTGAATAAATCCACTTTGAATTTCCATTTTTCGATCTAAACTTGCAATTTGAAATTACTTACAACAACAAAAAATTATATCATGAATCATGTAAAAGAAACTCATATACTAATTGAGGCTTGTTAGACATATTTTCAGAGGAAGAGAAATACAGGTTTCCATGAGCATGTTAAAATTTTCCACTCGATTTAAAGAAAGTCAAAATTTTATTAAAAAAAATATTTTATAAAAATTTAATTCAGCAGTAATTAGTTGAGAAGGTGCTTTTGAATTCTAACTTTAAATGGTCTGCTTCATATTGGTTAGAAACAAGTTGTTAATTTATTGTTAAATTTATTAACGACAAATTTTAATAAAATCCAACTTCCTTGGTGAAGGTGGGCAAATTTAATGTTTATGCATGATAACAAAAATCTATGCTCTCTACTAGTTCCGTTTTGTCTTCCGACAAGGAAAGAGCTTGCAATACACACCCTAAACTGGTAGAGCCGGGATTTCCTGTATTTCATGCAGAAACAATAAATTTGCTCATCTTCACTGAGGAAGCCGGATTTTATTTCATCCAAAAATGAACACGCGAAGCATCTGTCATATTTATTTATGTAATGTGCTATTTTTTACGATAGAAATTTTTTTTAATTTTGTATCCCCCTTGGTCTTGGGAAAGGCACCAGCTTTAGCAAACAGGCCTGCTGAATCGCAACTCGATTCTCCCATTTCTGGGCCGAAATCATGGTGACCTTGAGCCGGAGAGATGGGTCTGGTTGTTGGGAATTTGAAGGATGAGGAAGGTGCGCTGCTGCGGCCTATCAATGGGAAATATGCGGCATTCGACTGGAATGTCTGATGGAAACCGCAGAAAACACAGCTTAGCCGGAATTCCAGACGAAATGCCTGAAATTTCTACCGAATCTGCCCCTCGCAGATTTAGTGAATGGAAAACAAATCAATTGACTTAAACATGAATCTTTATAGGAATTACTAAACTTTCTGATATTCAATATTTGACCTAAAATCTATTCATCTTGCTGAAAGCTAATATTACTCGTGTAAATTGCAAAGTACCGATATGTTTATGTGTTTATAGCGTGTGCAGAAATTCCATTTCCGCCGCAAATGGGTGGTATCTCGCAACCTGTCAAACTGGCTGGCTTTCGGGCATTAAAACCAAATGACATGGAGATGTGCGGGCGAGAGGACAAAAGGCGGCTGTGTTCGTTTCGACATTAGCATCGTTTAAATGTCATTGTTCTGCCGCAGCAATTGCCGATCGAATTATAAACCCACGCGCATCTCGGCGGCGGACTGACTCATGCTTCCCTGTAGAGCACAAAGCCGGCGAGATCGAAAGCAGGTCTTTCTTTGACTCCATCCATATTTCCATGAGAGCCTTTTACTGCCCTTCAAAGAGTTCAGCTCGGAGTGAAACGTATTTCGCAGGGAGTAGAAGCAGGGAAGGTTTAAGCGCGTACATGTAATTGGCGAAAAAGCCGGCCAAGCTTTGCTAATATCATTCTGCAGCACGTGGAGAGGCTCTTTATTTGCTATGTGGATATTTCAAAAACGTTTGTCCCTCTCTCACAGGTAACACTATACATAAGCTCGGTGGAAAAGGAGAGGGAATCGGATGAAATTACATAGAGATATTTGTTGTTTTTCACATACAACGTAGTACTTGAATGAATTATATTGTTAGGTTAGTTGTCAATGAAATTGTCTCAATTTTCAATCAAATCGGCAAATTGCGAAATTATCATCCAGCGATTATCCTCAGAAGACAAGTGGAATTTGTTTTGAAATGGGAAAATAATCAACTTTGATAGTTAAATTAATTATTTGAAGGAAAAACATTATTTAAATAGATCAAATTTTATTTGGTCTTGATAATTTTTTGAGAATAAAAAAAATTAAAAGACTCTTAAAGTTATTTTTTAATTTTGAAAAGCGAACAATATAATTTAAATATGTAGAGCTGTGCAAAATTTTTGTTCAATATTCAAACGAATTTATAAAATAAATGATTTATTTTAAAGATTTTTGAATAAACTTGTGGAATATCTCAAGTTTTCTCTTTTTATTTATTACCTGCTTATTCGCCAAATTCTGAATTGGAAACCACATTTCTTTTCCCCGTGTGCAAATTTTTCTCTTCACTACAAACAAATGCTTAAATTAAAATATTTTTTTTCTTCCTGCACTGGAAATTCAAACAATGTTCTAGCATTTTCGACCATTGCCAATACAGGAATTGAATTGTATACAGGAAAAACGATATAAAGAATTAATGAAAACATTTTTTCTTCCAAATACAACATAAGGTTACTAAAGGTCTGCCAATCCTCACCCAAAGTGATTTTTTTCATTGATTTTTCTGAAAATGTGTAAGTGAAATGAATTCATTGCCATTCATTGCATATCATTAAATTTGAAATTAAGGAAAAATTAAACGACACTTCAGTTGTCGAATTGCTGAACTTCACCAGCTTTTTTTTAAATTTTGAACTACTTGAATGTTTTACAAAAGGATTGTTTGTTTACTTACATTTCCGCGCCACTTGGTGCAGACAGGGTGAAAAGTGCGGCGAACGAGGTTGTCTCTTTTCTTCAGAAGAAATCAGGCGTCCAGCATGTGAATTCCAATTAAATTTGTGGAGGAGCGTGAGACGGACGAGGTGCACTTTGACGCGCGAGGCGGTCGGTGTCTCTCATGCGAGCCGCGGCCGAGAACTGCTGAGCACCGCCGGCACCAGCCTCGATCGGAGCTGCCTCGCAGATGAGCGGTGGGGAGGATGCGAGGCCTGCCCGCCTGCCTCCTGCGTGGGAGTCTGCACGAGAGCTCCCTCGCACTACCTGCACGCTTTGTGTTGTGCGTCTCCTCGCCGCCGCCGCCGCCGAGACCGCCCCGACCGTCACCGGCAGGGGTGCTGCGGGGGCAGTGCTCCAAAATCAAATTATGCTTGTTGTCCGAGAGTCCGTGAGGTAAAGTTTATTTTCAGCCGATATGCTTTCGTCAACAGAGTTAAAACTTTACGAACAAAATTTTAACAGAACATTAACATTTTTATTTCTTATTTTGCCAATATTTATAAAAATATCTTTTACTATAAATATTTCAAAAAAAAAAATCATTTTAAATTTTCTAATTTTTCATGTTTTTAAAAGTTTATATTTTTGTGTCAGTACTAAAAATCAGTTAAAGCAAATTGGCAAAATTTGAAAGTCAATATCAGTATATAGATAGATAAATCTACTTTTCTATTTTTGTTCTAGCTATTTGCAGATAGGTGCTCATAATATTTAACCACTAAATGAGACGATTGTATGTCTACTTGAAGTTTTAGCAAAATCTTTTTGCTAGTGGAGAGGCCATTATTTCAATTCAATGTGGCCCTCCCAACGTTTTTCTTCGATGTAATTTTTTTATCAATTTTGTCAAACAAACAAAAACAACAATTAAAAATTAATATTTTATTCTTATTTTAAAATAAGCATTTTTTGCGGAAATTTTATTCAAACTTCAAACCAGATTGGCCAGGTAGCATTCACAATGATGATCAATATATTCATGCACAAAATAATCAATAATTTAATATGTTTAATGTGACTGCAAATGGTGGATTGAATTTAAATTCGGCTTTTCCTCGATGGGTTTTTTGTGAGTTTTTATTGTTTAAGAAAAACAATATCCTGCTCTACATGTTTCGGCTGCGGGCTGCAGCCATAATTCATGAGCTGTGAAAAATATTGGACGAATAGTAATTCATAACAAAACTCATAATATCAGTCTAAAATTTAACAAAACAGTTTAATTCGTTTTAGAAATGAGGCATTGAAAAGAGGCATTACGTGAATAAGGTTTAAAAAGTCACCAGAACTCATTATCTCCAACTCTGAAGAAATTAAATGAAAATATCGATTTTTGTCTAATCTTTTTTTTGAATTAAAGAAAGCGCAATACTTTAATAAGTATATATTTCGTTTTTTTTTTCAACTTTATAAATTAAATTTTTAATAACCATTATCAACACAGTAAAAAAATATCCATGGTAGTAATGAATTTCAGATTATTTCTAGTGAATTATAAAATTTGAGCAAGACTTTTTTCCTCGCTATTGTATTGCAACACTGCCCTTAATTCTTATAGTTAATGGTACACGCATGGGTGCACCGTTAATTGAGGTGCGCGTCTGTGTGATTGAGGCTGAAAAATTTGCAGCCCGCGACAAGATAAGAAAACGTGCGGGTGGTTTTGTGTCTAGGTATAGCAGCGTTGGCGGAAATTGGGCTGATCTTGAGCACACCAACCCTCTTGCTTTACTCCTCCTGCTCCGTTTGTAATGAGGAAGTTTATGTCGGCGGTGGAGTAGAAGTCGTTAAATTCGGAAGGCAATAATCCTCCCCGCATAAACAGCCATTAAATTTCGATAGCTTCTTTTGGTTGAAGCTTATCTTGAAATAAATTAATTTTTAGTACACTGAGGAGATAAAATTAAAATTATAGTGGTAATTATTTTAAATTTTCACTGCATGCGACTTTCCTAACCATCGACTTTATTATTACTATGAGGCGCCGGAGAGGCAATTTTTCATTTTGCACAGATTGCCATTCAAAAATGAGAGCGGACAGGGAGCATATGTATATCCACGAGAGAGTTTCAAAAAGTGATTAATAAAGTGGTGCGCGCGCGGGCAAATGGCTTTCCGATATTGAACTCGGCCGAGTGGTGTGTATGGATGAGATGCAAAATTTCCACGACTCCAGCCGGCGAGTTATTTTATCACAGAAGGAAGAGGTATTGGAAATTTTCCTTTTTATAGCTCCTTCACGCTCGGCTGGAGAGCAGTCAAAGCTGAGCGACTGCCGGAAAACGCTTTTCGGGATCGACTCATTGTCAGTCAAAATGTCTCAAGTCAACTGCAACTCTTTTTGATCTTTTTGTGATTTAAATTTAAATTTATCATTTAAATAATTTCCATTCAATTATTGACTTAAAAGAGCCAAGATAAATTAGATAAATATTTGAAAAAGGAGGTTTCCTTGTCAAGGAGGTGGTTGAATCATGCAAGATTTGGAAATATAATGAAAAGGTCTACTCATCATTGATGAAGATTTAAAAAATGAAAACAAAAACGCTTAGCCGTTAAAATTTTGAGTTCCATCTGAGCAGCCCTAATTCATCGTAGAAAATAAAAAAAATTATATAAAAATAAGCTTAAAAAACTTATTAAAAGCATATTAATCAGTTAGTCAAATTTTTTCTAAAACTAAAACAACTTTCCAAACAACCTGGTTTATAGAGAGAATAATTTTTAATGGAAAAATTATCAAAATTAAAAGGAGATTTAAAGGATTTAAGGAGATTTAAAAATACTGGACTATCGATAGAAACAAGATAGAATAAAAGGTGTTAAAAAGTCAATGAAAAGCAATTTTTTTTTTTGAAAATAAACCTTCATAAATTTATACATTTATAGCATTTATAGTTTAAGTTTGCAGTGTAATACAATTTTATTGAAATTTGTGGTTTCAATATTCTTTTAATTTTAAAACAAAAAGTGTGACATGTGCAGGAAACTGATTGTATCAAATCTCATGTAAATTGCTGTTTTTTCAGTGCTACTTATTAACTATTCTCTTAAGCGTGAAGAATAGAGAGCGAGAAAACAGCTCGTCTCCTATTCTGTCAGGATGGATTTTTAAGAAGCTCTCGGGGGCCTGTTTTTCTTTTTAATATTTTTTTCCATCTTACAGCAGAGCTGACGCCGTATGTCCCTTTGAATAAAGCTTTCCTTTGTGCCGCCGCCGCGTTATGAGATGTATGCTAATTATGAGGCATGTTTTATTCACATTCCCGACTGCATACCTTGCAAGAAGTTTCACACTTTGCATGACATAATAATTCCTCGGAAAGTGTAAACAAACTTTCGTAATATAAAAGACGGCGTCCCCAGAGAGTGGCTCTTCCTCAGACATAAACGCATCAAACGAGAGAGCAGCTGGAAAGGAGAAGAAATTTTATAATTATTATTGAATCGATTTCCGAAATGAACTGAGGAGCGCACTCGCACAATGGGAAACTCCAATTTCGCCTAAAAGGGAAAGCAGGGGAAGATATGCATGCAGCTCTCCTTTGATGTTGCAACAGCACCGCAATGGGGATAATGGCAGAGAGAGCAGAATTAAGACTGTTGGAAAATTTCGACTTGGAAATAAAGCTGGTGAGGCATAAAAGGGCGCGTTTCTCTTTCCATTTCGCTGACGTTTATTGCTGCCGGGGAGAAAAGTTTACTGCCTTAATTAAGAATTATTAAAATAAACTTTTTATTCGTGAAACAAAAACCTCTGGAAAAGTTGTTACTGCTCACCAGTTGATGTTTTTAATTGAAAGTGTCAAAATTTGTATTTGTTTAATTAATTTTAGAATACTTGAAACAGATCGACCAAATGTATAATAAATTTTCCATTTATTATTTTATATGGCAGAACGGCTAAATTTAAATTTATTTATTAAAATTGTTGATTTTTTAATCGGAAAGATTTGTTAATTATCATAAGGGATTCAATTTTAAATCGCCAGTTAATTTTAGAAGATCGATTATGGTAATTTATTTGCTATAAACAACAATTTGGTAAATAGTGCGGTCAGTGAAATCAATTAATTGTGAGTACACCGCGGTGTTCAATCTTTTGACCTGCAATTGACTTTCAGTCCGAGCATCACGCGCCACCGACTCTCGCATTCAATTAGCCACTCCAGAGCGGCAGGGCGTGTTTGTGCCTAGGTATATGTATGTGCACTTAGCGTGGTACCAATTAACCAATTGGACTATTAGCACGCGGTCGCTTTCCAGACAAAAAATAACGTTGCGGGGCGTGTTGTTTCAATCAAGAGCAAGAGAGACATTCTGTGACCACATCAAAAGGGACGAAGTGGCCTCTTGATAATTAATAGTCATTTGATCGATTTCGATATTTGATATGAGAAACTCATGAGCACCCATAAGCAGTGAGCATTATAATGCTGAAGCTGAAACTGGCTGAAACAAAAGCTAGATAAAGTCATAAATAATAAATACCATGTTAATAAAATATATTTTAATGTTTTATTAAATAAAAACCAATTTTAACTCTTTTGTATGTTTTTTACTGGATAAATAACAGTAGATCAGATTTGATTAGATATTTTTATCCATTCTTTTGAGCACAAAATATACAGTCATCATGCAACAAGCACAATTACCACCGAACAAGTTGATGTCGCTCTTAATTTTGTCGCTAGTAATTTTTTGTTGTTGTTAAATTCCATAATATGTTTTTTTTATATGATAATTAGATGTAATTTTTTTTTAAAAAAATATGCAAATATATTAATTTAAAAGGTCTACTAAATAAATAATTTAATTTATAACAATAAAATAATAATGTTGTATTGAAAGCTATAAATTTGTGCCTCTCCAGAATTACACTTGCTAGAAAAATGGAGGCAGTCTAACTCAAATCTGTCACGTTTTTTATTGCAACTAAGTCTAATGCATATTTCATGGTGCCACTGCAAACAAGTGAAGCCATCAGGTGCGAGCATCAAAGATTCAGACTCCGGAGGCAATGAATTCCAAGACGGCGGTCACTTGGTCGGACTCTGGGGCAGGAGAGACTCGATTCCGGTCACATATCTCGACGCGGGGCAGCCCAGCCCGTGTCTCGCACCTCCCCTGGGGCCCGCGGCATTAAAGCACCACGTGACTCTTCTGCAAAT